CTTGACTCAAAACACTTAAAAACACAAGTTTGGACAGATTCTAACTAATTTAACTCAACAAAGTAAAGGGGATTGGGTTTTTGACGAATTTAAAGTAAAGACAAGTAACTTAAAGACTTGGACAAATTTAGCACGAATTTGGGGGAAAATATGGGTGATGGCTAGCTAGAGGGTTCTTCTCCACACATGACACACTTGAACATAAATCAATTTCCAGTTGCTTTTTCAATAAATCATGAACCTCAACACCCTAGATTAACCGTGAACAACACTAATTAACCCTCAGATTTTCCTTAAGTCGTTGACTTGGATGGACAACGCATCGGCAACCAAATTATTCTTCAATAGTCCCCTACATGAACAACATAATAGAGATACAATCAAAGATCATTACGCTTTGTGAAAATCATAAGCATTGACAAGGCATTCGTAACTATGAACAGCATGATACTCCTGCCAGGAATCTACTTAACACGATTGTGACTAGCAACCTCCACTATTTATGAATATAAGTTCATAACGATTAGGTGAAACTCCCTTATATTCTAGCATCAAATCCCTGCATGCAAACTAAGTATGCATCCTTAATCAACATACAAGAATAAGTTATCAATCAAACAGTTAAGTAAATTGCATTCACGATTTATGAAATCACAACTGGAAGTAATCAATTCATATTGCAAATATATTCATGGCTTTGAATTTCCCCTAGCTAAAACGAGTTTAGCTCTTCATGTTCGCAAAACAAAGGTAATTAAACTTAAACGTTGAAAACAGAAGATGGATTACACCTAAGAATGTTCCAGAAATCCAACTTGAATGGCAAGCACGTCCAAGGGTCTTCCTTCTTCTTCTTTGTTGCGGCACAAGGTGTGGGTGAAGGTTTGACTAATGATTTGTATGGAAGAATGGCTGAAAGTATGAATGGTAGTGAGTGGACGGATTGAATGGTGCAGCAAGGGCCTTTATTTATAGGGGAAGGAAAGGGCACGGCTGGGAATTAAATTGGGAAGGTTTAAGACTCCAAATCCTCCAAGAAAAGGGTAACAAATCAGAATCCTGAGAAGAAAAGGGTAAGAAGGGTGCGGCAAGCCTTAAAAAAAACAAGGGAAATGTGATTTGCCTTGCACGGCAAGGGAAAGGGAAAGGGAAAGGGGTGCGGCATCCCTTTGTGGCTGGGATAAGGCCTTCTAGAACCTATTATTAAGTGTCCTAATATAATTAAGGATCCTCTTTTGCAGCTAGAATTTAAATGGTGAAGGATTAGGAAAGTTTGGGACAAAATAAGGTAACTTTGGCTAACATTCCTTCTTTCTTGCTTGCATCCTTTACTTCCTTTTGTTGAATTAATTTCTTCATAACTTCAGCATAATCCTAGCCTCTTTTGGTCTTCAAATTCGTCCATCCACCTTTCTCCATGCATGTGTTATCCATTCCAAGCCCAAACTGCTCCAAAATGCACAAAAAAGCACTTTCTTGCTATTTTAGCCCTTTGGACCTACAAACACACGAAAATAGCTTAAAATACATAAATAACTATGAACTAACAACATACATGCAAGAAAACAAGCTAACTAAGTCGCATAAATATGCTCCTATCAGTCCACTACTTCATGCGATTACAACTAGAACCCAAAAATTTCAACAAATGCAAAAACTTCATTAAAGGAGCAAAACAATTTGTCCCTTAGTGATTTTGGACCTTTACGTAAAACGTAAACTTTTGGGTCAAAGTACAAATACTCAAAAGTATCAAAACTTTATGTAATTGCATAAAAGTTCCAAAAGTACCCCCATTCTGGGGGTGGCCGGTTTTGGTGAGTAGGAGAGAGGGTTGGTTTTGTTGAAAATTCAGAATCTTAAAGTGTGTTAAATAAGTGAAAGGTATGGGTTGAAAAGTTGATTGGCATGATTGAAAAGTTTGATTGGTATGGGTTGAAAGCTATAGGTAAGGTGTAGCATTTATCAAATAATAATACACAAATCATCCATCACCAATCAATAACAAACCAAAACTTTATGAAAAACAACAAACACATTGAATCAAAACACCAAACATTTTTGTTCTTGGTAAGAACATCAAGAACATTGAAGAACATCCATGAAAAACCCATAAGAGCTCCATGAATGTTTTCACTCAATAAAACTCAAATGTTCACTACTCAAAAGGGGGTTAACACCCTAGGGCACTTAGGGGTTCCAAAAGTCACTTTAAACACTTTTAACAAGACAAACATGAACCTAAAATTTCACCCTTTGGATTTGGCCGAATTTCCCCATAAACATGGCACCAAATTTTAGCTCCAAAATTCATGCTCATATGAACTACATCTACAACATTTGAGATGGCAAATTTTCAAGCAAAGTTTACATTCAAAGAAGCAAGAATAAAGCTTGTAACAATTACAACATTCAAATCAAAGACTATGAACTACAAAACCCAAAATGATTCACCAACTACTAGACCTAGGCTCTTGATACCACTTGAAGGAAATATTTATGAAAACAAGTTCATTTGAGCAACATCTATGCATGCAATTAACAAATAAAAGGCGGAATCATGCTTGTATGCACTCAAAAATAAAACTTTACCCATGAAATTCAAGGCCTAGTGAGTGTGGTGAACCAAGATTCAACTCAAGAACAAAGTGAGTTGAGAAATATTATACCTTTGTTGATTCCTCTTTGCATAAGTAAAGGATAATCACCCAAGAGATAGGGCCTTCATTCCTTACTTCCTAGCTCCATGGAATTTCTTGGATGAGGATGGTAGAATGGATTCTTCAAGTTCCCAAAATAGAGAACCTCTAAGTCTCCACACCAAGGAGAGCATTGATGAAGAGATGAGTGACCTTGGAGGAAATGGATGCTAGTAATTTTCTCCAAGGTGGCCAACCTCCTAGAGAGTCAAGAGAGCTTTGTGTTCTCATCTTTTCTCTTAAGAAAACCCTAAGGATGAAATGGCTATAAAGTTGCTTTTATACCACCTCACAATGGAGTGGCAAACTTGCTATTAAGCCAAGTTCACTACCCCTCACTCTTATGCCCAACCATATTGGGTTCTTTGGGCTTTGAGGCCACAACTTGAGATATTGGACTTGACATTCAAATCCCATTAGGCCTAACGGCCCAAAACTAACCCGAGGTCTATAACGAACTTATTCGTTTTGATTAATTAACATATTAATTAATCCTAGCCATAAATAATTAAACCATTTAATTATCCTTACTCATCTCCGTTGTTTCTTCAATCTCTACCTTACACGGTGTACGATCCAATAGGTTCCTTTTAGCGAGGTAGTGGGCGATTAGAACTCTTCAATTCTCCCTTTAGTGATTATACACCTTTAGAGCTTCCACAAACCATGAGTGACACCTAGCAGTATGTCATGGCTACCCAAGCTAATCAGAAGAGGTGGAAAACCTATTCAGTTTAGGATTACAATGCAATACGATCTTTCTCTAATACAATACTCTTGACCACATTGTTTGGTTTGATAGTTTATTCATGCCTACTGTCCAATGTGATTCTTTTACTTATATGATTACCGTGAATGTGATTTGTAACGACTTCCTAAATCTCATTCATACTCTGGCCAGAGTTTCTTAATCATATCATAGAGTATTCTCCCTCGAACGGTTTGAAGGTTAGAGATCCCTTGTTGTGCATTCACTTGCCTCCATGGCTAAGTGGCTTAACCCCAACTATGTTGTGGACACCTTCTGACGAAGTGACTTCGACATAATCAAATATCAAGGACCTAACCACAAGACAACTATGATGCCTCAGGTCAAAGGACTACTTTGCATTATCCCAACCATGAGTTCTCATGTGACATAAGTATGAGAACTCCTTGTTGATCGTGTTCAGTGGACTCATTCTCTATTGAGCACCTACATGCTTGTCTTGGTGTCAGTCACACCAATGACTCAAGGCCAGTCACTCTCCCTAAGATAAGACATAGCACGTACTGATCTTAACAGACTGTCAATGCCCAATTGGCAATCCTATGATCAGGAATGTTTAAGATATGTATACGAAAAAGAATGGTCTCTTGAATTTAACTTTAGATCACATTCTCCCAATTACATATTCTTTGGACTTATCGTTTAAGCATATAACATTTATATGAGACGGTTTAAAACAATAATCTTTGCGCTTTATATTAAACTAGATTAGTTTAACATGTAAAATGTCCGTAAAGTATCATTATATGATTGGTTTTAGGGCACTTTTCCAACACTTTTGGTGATCAAAACGATCAGCCAAAGCAACCCAGAGTGCTTGTGGATCTTCCTCAACAAGGTACTCGGTTTGCAATGCCTCATGAATATGTCTTCGAACGAAGATCATGGCAGTGGCTTTCTCAGCTTCACCAACCGGGTTGTCTGTCTCATCTTCAACAATTATGGATATAATGCATACACAATTTATGTAGAATCTAAAATTTGAAAAACGTAAAGTTGGGTAATGCATTATGGTGAATATTCATGCTATTAGGGCTTCAAAAATATCGGGATAAAAACCGTTGTTTTGGAAGAACCTGATTGCATGATGATATTGATGAATTGGTTTGATGCGGAAAGCTTCCACGTTAGATTCTTAAGCGCAGCGGTAGGAGCATGCTGATAACGTATTGTAGCCTATATTTAACTGATAGAAGAAGGGGGGTCGGTGGCACAGAGAGAGAATAGAGAGATATGTGTTTGTAGGGTTGTGTAAAGGAATGTGTGTTATTTTCCCTATGCAGTGCCTTTATTTATAGTAATAAGAGGGAGAAGAAAATCTTTCTTATAAGGAATACAAGTTCATATAGGAAAAAATAACTAGAATCAAATCAAATATAGTACAAGAAGATTAACATTTTCTTGGGATGAAGCATTTAACATTTTAACCGCTAGTAAAAGTGGGGGTGTCACGTGCCAAACCTAACATTCTTCATTGTTCTCAATTCTCTCTCCTTTAACGGTTGTTGTTGGTCTGATCAACGACTATTCTATAATCCGCTGGTAAATAATATGCTGCCACTCCTTCTTGTTCAAATTCTCGAGACACAGAGTGATTGTGGCGGCGGTGTCTTTGGTGGCAGTGCTCCCCTGAATCTGAATTGGTCTCAGGTCAATCAAATTGTCAAAAGAGAATGGAGGGATTGTCATCCTCTTCCGCTATTTTCTACGACTTTCTCGATCGAATGCGAAACCCTGCTTCCCTCGATCTCGTCCGATCTATCAAAAGGTACTCCCATAACTCAAACCCTAATCCATGAAATGGAATGGATATTTAATATGTTTGGTTTGATATTTGTTTGTCAGTTTTATCGTTTCCTTCTCGTTTTACGCGGCCAACCCTGAAAGTGATGGCAAAAAGGTTCAAGAGTTCTACGCAACCATGGAAGATAATATTAGGGATCATCCTTTGTGGGCAGGTGCCACTGATCAGGAAGTCGATTGTGCAATGGAGGTACTCTCTCCCTCCCTCTCTCCCTGTTTGTTTCAATTCAAACATGGTGGACGAATTTGGTTTAGTCTATGTTGGTGTTCTTAAGAATCTCAAAATTCGCTTCACTCGAAAGTTAATTTCGTTTTTCATCGCATCCCTTGTGTTCACAATAGTTTAAACTTTCCGACTAACAATCGTATTAAAGAAAGGCACTGTAGCACGTACCACAAAATTATTTTGTTTATATGTGGGATACTCAGCTTGGGGAAAGGCTTTGTTGTTGCTGTTGTTGGGATACTCAGCTTGGGGTGTGTTTGTCTATGATGGCTACTGCAGGGTTTGGAGAAATATGTCATGACAAAGTTGTTTTCCCGGACCTTTGCTTCTTCACCCGAGGATGCAAAGATTGACCTTGAAACCTCGCACAAAATACACTTGCTGGAGACCTTCTTGAAGCCTGAGCATCTGGATATTCCAGTAGTTCTGCGCAATGAAGCTTCATGGCTGGTATGTATACCGCATTTGCACTAATTGTTGGGAGTGCAGATTACTGCAGGCACTGCATTCCTTTTTAGTGCTTATTTAGTTCCATTTAATATGCTAATGGATTGTTTTGTATATTGTTTGTCATTTTAGATTTAATGCTCATAGTTTCATGGTTATCCTATTATCTCCGTTATACGAAGCATTGTAGTAGAGGTCATTTTATTTAAGGGAACTCTAACGAAAAGCTCTCGGTACTGTTCACTTTAACGAAAGATCGCATTTTTACACTAAAAAGTCAATCCTGGTACTATTCACTTTACCCTTTATTTTGTCCTTATCATTAAAACTCAAAAGTTTTCAAGTCATTTTCATTAGTTTTCCTTTTATTTAAAGATGTTGATTTCCAGCTGAATACTTGGTTGCTCTTAAATAAGTAAACGAACCACAAAAGACATGTCATTTACACATTTTCACTTTCATCTTAATGATTATATTTCCTTGAATAATGAATCAGGTTTAGTGTCTTTGGCAGTTCAGGATTGAACATATACACCTTGTGGTTTGCCGTTTGAGTGATTGTGACTTCAGTAGACGCATTTTCTTAGAAATAGTAGTACTTAATTGCAATTCATTTTCCAGCAGAGGTGTGTTAATTCTCTTTATTAATCACAAGCACCAAACAGCAGCCTTGTTGCCCTGCCTGACACACAACCAAACGAAAATATGAATGAATGTGCATAGCATCAGACTAAAAAATTCAAGCTAAATACCTGTATATATTTGCAGTTTAGGTTGTTTAAATCATAACAGTGCCTTTTGATTTCAGCCATACTCGATATTGATATAAAAGGAATTTCTACTTCTGCTTGTTCCTTTTGTTTTTCCTTTGGAGGGGAATGTGTAGTTTGAGAGATAATAAATAATCTGAAAATAACTTATTTGGTAGAGATAATTGCATAGAATCTTGGATATTATCCTCCTTCCCCTTGAATGGATTGGTTTTATGAAAATGAATGGTCATCCAGATAACTATATTCTTGAAGATCTTTTATAACTGCATTACTCTGCTTCTCTCTTTTCCTTTTATTATCAAATATCAATTTAGACTCGTTTATTTCTTTTTATTTGATATAACAATATTGTACTTATTCCTTGTAAGAACTAAGGACTAGCCACAAATTCTCTCTTTTCTATTCAGCTTGCAGAAAAAGAATTGCAGAAAATCAATGCGTTCAAAGCCCCTCGTGAAAAGCTTCTCTGTATTATGAATTGTTGCAAGGTCATTAACAATCTGTTACTGAATGCATCAATGTCAGAAAATCATGTATTAGCAGGAGCTGATGACTTCCTTCCTGTCCTTATATATGTCATGATCAAGGCAAGCTTTCCTTGGTAATAAGCCATTCTGCAATCATGCCAGTTCTGATTTTTCAAATTTTAACAGTGTGAGATCACATCATACATGCCTGAAAGATTTTTGGTTTTATTACCTCATTTGTTTGGTCCTGGAGTGTGTGTTAAATGTTGATTTTTTTCCTTACTGTTGATTGTCTTCTCAGCATCATCAGAATTTTTTAGTTGGTGATAAGGTGTCCATTTGCATTCAATGTTACTTTGTGTTATTTAATTAAGATGTCATATTTGATGCTGGTTGTTGATCAATCATTTTAAAGTTTTATAAGAGTTTATTTCTATATGCTGCATCACTAGTTACTAACCCTTTCGGCTTTGCACTAACAGGCCAATCCTCCACAGTTGCATTCCAACCTCAGATTTATTCAGTTATATCGAAGGCAGACAAAACTTGTGTCGGAAGCGGCTTATTACTTCACCAATCTTGTCTCAGCCAAAACATTTATTCTTGAGTTAAATGCTAAATCTCTTTCTATTGATGAAATCGAATTTGAAGAGAGTATGCATGCCGCAAGATTGACCAATAAAGCTACAGAAAAGGACGCCACACAAGCTTTGGAAGAAATGACAACCTCACAAGGCCAGACAGATCCTGGTTCATCAGCGGTGTTGCATTATAAAGAGAGAAGCGGTAAGGTTCAAACTATAACTCATTTTCCTAACCGTATATTTGGATGAGGAAATTTAAAGTCTCAAGGAACTTTAGACTCAATTGTTAAAAATGCACTAGAAGAAGCTTTACCAATCAACTACTAAAACAGTACATAGCTACTACTAAAACATTGCCAGTGGACTACAAGACGCTAAACACACGACTTCCAAATGACACCCTTGAAGGAGTCATTCAAGAGTTCTCTCAAATGTATTGCATTTAGTCATTTTGAAGTCCCTCTATTTAAGTATATACCCTAACAATTTTCCCCTTAGATCCATTGACTTTAAAAGTTCCTTATCCAAACACACCATAAATGTTACCTTTTCTTCAGGCCCTAGTTTTGAGGTGTTGGCCCCATTTTGGATTGGATTGGATTGCATAATTCACTAGATTCAATGTATGTTGAAGCAAGAAATGGATATGAACTTAAAATCTTGTCCAAGTAGAAGTTAGAAAATGTTAGTTGAACCTATGCTACCCTTGTGAATTGAACCTATGCTACCTTTAGAAATACTATAGAACTTCAACCATTACGTTTTTTTCTTCTTTGACAACAAAACAATGTGTGGCTTGTTTTATTTTTCTTTTGTATGCTCAAATAATGGGAGCTTGGGACCGTGTACTTTTAGTTAGTTGTAATATTCCAATCCAAAGTTCCATAAGTAACAGATAAATGCATCCACCATTGTGAAAATATTTTTTATCGGTTTTTGTTTATGTTAGTTACCCTTCCAGACTCTTGACAATAGAATTTTACGGCTTAATTTTCATTGTATTTTATAACTGAAATATATATACAAAATACAATCCTTGTTCTATAAGGAAACAATAAACAATAAAGGACACACATATATCCTTCCTAATAAAGGATTCCTAATATTTACAATATATTTACATACCCTTTAATTACTACTCATGGCAACACTCCCCCTCAAGTTGGAGCATATATATCACACATGCCCAACTTGACAAGTGAGTCACCAAAAGATCTACTACACACGGCATGCGTGAGGATATCCGCAAGTTGCTCTTCCGAGTTCACAAACGGTATTGACACAATCTTCTTCTCAAGCTTTTCCTTAATAAAATGACGATCAACCTCCACATGCTTTGTTCTGTCATGTTGTACCGAGTTCTTTGCAATCTCCCCTGCGGATTTATTATCACAATACAAGCTTATGGCCTCTTTTGCTTTGAAACCTAGACCCCAAAGTAACTTACGTAACCAAAGAATTTCACATACTCCATGTGTCATACCTCTAAATTCGGCCTCAATTGAAGACCTTGACACCACATTTTGCTTCTTGCTCCTCCAAGTGACTAGATTTCCACCAACAAACGTAAAGTATCCAGCAGTAGAGCGCCTATCAGTCACATCACCTGCCCAATCAACATCGGTAAATCCCTCAATTCTCAGATGACCGGAATTTTTATGCAAAATTCTTTTTCCCAGAGCCGACTTCAGATAAGCTAAAATCCGCATAACAGCTGCCATATGATCCATACTCGGTGAGTGCATAAACTAACTCACTACACTTACTGCATAGGCTATATCCGGACTAGTATGAGCTAAATAAATTAGTCTTCCTACCAACCTCTGATATTTGCCTTTATCTACTGGTTCTTGGTCCGGATAAATTCCCAAATAATGTTTCTCCACAATGGGAGTATCCACGGGTTTACATCCAAGCATACATGTTTTCTTCAATAAATTCAGAACATATTTTCGTTGAGACAAGAAAATACCTTTGGATGAAAGAGCAACTTCAACTCCAAGAAAAAATTTAAGTCACCTAAACTCTTCATCTTAAACTAGGCAGAAAGATTCTTCTCCAGTTTGACAATCTCATCTGAATCATCACCTGTTATTATCATATCATCTACATAAATAATTAAGGCCGTTACTTTACCATTTCTCCGCTTCACAAATAAAGTATGATCAGAATGACTCTGATAATACCCATTTTTTCTCATGGCATGGTTGAACCCCCCAAATCATGCACAAGGTGACTGCTTAAGCCCATAAAGTGACTTTCGCAATCGGCACACTCCCGATTTTTCTCCGTTACTATACCCTGGAGGAAATCCATATACATTTCTTTCTCTAGATGTCCATGAAGAAACACATTTTTTACATCAAACTGTTTCAGTGGCCAATTCAAATTTGCAGCTAATGAGATAAGGACTCGTACCGTATTCATCTTAGCCACGGGAGAGAAAGTTTCCTGATAATCAACTCCGTATGTTTGAGTATACCCTTTCACCACCAACCTTGCTGTATACATGTTGAGTGATTCGTCAGCCTTGTATTTAACTGTAAAAACCCATCGGCACCCAACTGGCTTTTTTCCTTTCGGCAACTCAACTACTTCCCATGTATTATTTTTCTGCAATGCCTTCATCTCTTCATCCATTGCTTCGGTCCATACTCGACTCTTCAAAGCGTCTTCTACTCGAGTTGGTACTTGAATTGAATCCACATTATTCACCCAAGCTTGGCGTTCAGATGAAAGGTTTTTACAGGACACATAATTAGCTATGGGATACTTCACTTTTCCCTCCGGAGAGAACCTGTTAGGAGGTACACCACGATTTTGCCTTGGTGGCAATTTATATGTACTTATAACATCATTAGTTATATGAGTATCACTAGTGCTTACCTCAGGGATAACCAGAGAAGATGTTTTGGACAGTGGCACTGTTGAGTTAGAGAAAGGAGAGGAAGCTTCGGCAATTGCTGGCTGACCATCAGTGCACTTCTCTTCGGCATCACTAACACACGGACTGGCAACCTCTTCTTCGGTGAGAAGATGCTGACCACTTGCAGCAGGTTCTGTGAAAAACTGCTGACCACTCACAACAGGCTCGGCAGGAGGAGACCGAGCATCAACTGCATCACTCAGCACAACGTCATGCACTCCCCCCGAAACCGTTACCTCTTGTACATCCAACCATTCAAAATCACCATCAAGATCACAACTAGAACTCTCCCTCTTGTGATCAAAGGGTGGTGATATGGGAGCATAAAAATATTTGACTCAGAGAAAGTCACATCCATGGTTATATACATGTGGCAAGTTGTAGGGTGATAACACTTGTAACCTTTCTGGTGGGATGCAAAACCCACAAAGACACACCGAAGAGCACAAGGATCCAATTTACTACGATGAATCTTGTGAATATGAACAAAAGCAACGCATCCAAACACTCGAGGAGTGAAAGTATTGGTAGAAATAACCGGAACATGTTCCGTCAACACTTGGAGTGGAGTACGAAATTCTACAACCCGGGATGGCATGCGATTTATAACATACATGGCATAGGTGATGGCATCTGGCCAAAAACTATTGGGCACGGACCCACCAATAAGCAATGCACGAGCAGTTTCCAAAATATGACGGTTTTTTCTCTCAGCTACCCCATTTTGTTGTGGGGTATACGAACACGTTGTCTCATGAAGAATTCCTTGACCACGGAAAAAAGTAGATAGCTTAGAGTTAACATATTCTCCCCCATTATCAGTAGGAAGAACCTTAATAACGGAGGAATATTGTGTAGCCACCATCTGAGAGAAAGACCGAATAATCATACTAACATCACTTTTATGTTTCAACAGATAAACTCATGTCATATGAGTGCAATCATCAACAAACGTAATAAACCATTTAATTCCCGAAGTAGTACTAATAGGGGAAGGCCCCCACACATCAGAGTGTACTAGCGCAAATGGAGAAGATGTTCTATTCATACTTGGAGGGAATGAAGCACGATGACTTTTGGCTAAAATACATACTTCACATTTCAATTCTGAGTCTTCAATACCACTGAACAAATCAGGTAATATATGTTTCAAATAACCAAACGATGCATGCCCTAAACAACGATGCAATAACAATACCTTCTGTAGATTACTATTACGTGACGCATGAACCAAATTAGCTCTTCCAGGAACCACGTCATCCATATAATATAGCTCATCTCTCTTAGTGCCACACCCAATGATCTCCTTTGTCTGAATATCCTGAAGCAAGCAAAATGAATGATACATTAATACAACACAATTCAATTGTTCAGTGACTTGAGGTACATACAATAAGTGATGGGACAATGTCGGAACCAATAAACAATTATGTAAGGGAAGAGAGGGTGTAAGAGACACTGTTCCCGCTCCAACAACAGCAGCAGTAGTACCATTGGCAGTTGCCACACACTTTCTATGAAGATGGGTCATAGATTGAAACAAAGTCTTATCATACGTCATATGATCCGTTGCACCGGAATCCAAAATCCAACTTGTATTCACCATTGTAATAACACGACTGCACAAGAAGGTACGATAACAACGAAGGTTATGGTCTTGATTACAGCTGCTGCAATACACAGGTTGCACTATGTGACAGCACTGCACACCTCACGGCAAAAAAAACTAAAAACTCAATATGCTGCAATCCAAGGTAGCAGCAAAAACACAAACAATACCCACACGGCACAAACAATTGCTGCAATCAGTACAGCAAAGCAACACCAAATTCCCTTTTTTTTTTCCTTCTTTCTATGCAAAGGAGCAGCAAAAAACGCTGCAATATCCCAACAATACCTACGACAAGGACAGAAAGCACAGTCTTTGCGATTTCTCTGTAGCAGCAGCACGGGATGCAGCTAAAAACAATCAGATACTAGCAGTTTTTTTTTTTTCTTCCTTCCTCACAACACAAGCAGCAAAGGAAAAAAAAAAGACAAAAAACTCCAAGATCCCAATAGTACTCACGGCAAAGGCATGCAGTACGCACAGCCTTCGCAAATTTCTTGGCAGCACAGCGGCACGGGATGGGTATTTTCCTGGTTAGGGTTACAGCAACAGGCTCTGATGCCAAATAGAATTTTACGGCTTAATTTTCATTGTATTGTATAACTGAAATATATATACAAGATACAATCCTTGTTCTATAAGGAAACAATAAACAATAAAGGACACACACATATATCCTTTCTAATAAAGGATTCCTAATATTTACAACATATTTACATACCCTTTAATTACTACTCATGGCAACATTGACTAATGGATAAACATTCTATTGAAAGCTACAGGTTCACCAAATTATCCTTATATGGACAAAGAGGCTGGAGATTGACAGTTGGAGATGTCGAAAGACTGCTGAGTGCGTACAAGGAAGTGGTTACCATGTATACCAGTCTGTGTACGGCTGTTAGAAACCTTTCTTTTTCAAGGGCTGAACCCCATGCCACTAATTTAGAAGCTAAAATTGTAGTGTCGACACAGGCGGAGAAAACTGGTAAGAATTCCGATCAAGGAGGAGGATGAAGAGGCAACTTTCAAGTTCAGTTACCATTTTTCAAAATCATGACAAGTTTTGTTAGGAACACAATGAATAAATAGTCCTTTTCTTTTTCCATTGAGCTATTTACAGAGACAACTTTTCTCAAAGAGGGGTTCACGATGGGGCAAGTTCGCAATGAACTACTAAGGCGGCAAAAAATCTGCCCCCATCCAGAAACTAACAGATGCTAACTGTACAGAGAGTCAAAATTACAAATCAACGAACACCGAATGTCATGTTGAAGTTAGATACTACGCTGGCACCATCGTTTGCGGCTGCCTTTGCTCAGCAAGCTGAGTTGGAGAAAGAAACACTCTTGTTAACTGCCTTGGCTGGTTTATGGGTGTTTTGGCTTTTCTTGCGGTATGAGCTCACACATCTCATACAAACTTTGCAGGAATCTCATCAGAGCTATGAATCCCGGCACACCTGGTGTGCTGCCAAACACCACATGTATCACAAGCAAACATCCTCTCCCCGTCGTCATCCTTGGCCCCACATGTGCAATCAACGGTCCAGCTTTCAAGTCCTCTCTCCTTCCGGAAACGGTTCAGCCCATGTTTTGCAAGGCATCTACCTTTCAATCGAATTGAGCCACATGATCCAAGCAGAAGTTTTACTGTAAATGAATCCTTTATAGAGCCATATTGATAGGGATTTTACCACCTGCAAAAGTAGAGATAAAAACACTTAAAAATACTTGCAAGAGAACAACGTAGTTGTAGTATAAACGGCTCAAGTAAGGTCATTTTCCGCAGGGATTGAATGAATAATTTGTATTTAAACTAATTCTTAATTAACTATTTGAAAACAAAGTTTAGAAGAAATTGATTTTATGACCTAAAATATTAAAAACGAATTTAAATAAAAACAATTAAATAAATTGACAAAGTAAAGAAAACAAAAGAAAACATTTTGAAAACCAAATTGTAAAAACCTAGGGTTCCGCCGTCCCCTTAACAATCCTCCTATGTAGATTTACCAATTACTTATGAATTATTCATGCAACTTTGAAGGTTAGATTTTCCTAATGCATATTCTACTCGTGGTATTCAAGCTAGAACGTATATCAAACATGCAATCCGTCTGTGGTATTCAGATTAAATATAAACATGCAAGACTCATTACGCTTTATGAAAACCTTTTGAAAAACCATGCAATCCCTAAGACATGGTATTCATCCCAGGTGAAATTACAACTATCAATCACAAGAAGCAATACTCAATCCCCCGGTGGTATTCCGGCCGAATTGCATCCAATTACTTATCTAAACATCCTAATGGTAGCTAAGCATTAAGATATAGAGACAGTTTAAAGTACAGTGATTAATAATTCAAAGTATACGTGTATAATATCATAAGCAATTATACAAAAACTAGATATTCATGCTAAGGCTCAAGGCATTGCCCTAGCAAGCGAAAATTAGCTACGAACAACCATAAAACAAAATGAATTTTATTGAAATAGAAAAAGGATAGAAAACACCTAGAAAATAAACTTCAAAAACCCTCTAGAGTAGTGCGTGCGTTCTCCTCCAATGTTGCGTAAAGAACCCTAATGCCTAACAAGCCTTATTTATACTACTCTAAAATAAAACCCTAAAAGGTCTTAGAATAAAACTAGGAAACATAATAAAATAATAAAACAGAAAATAAAAGGTTTCTTATTTAAACTAAAATTCGGACCTCTCAGAAAACCACACTTTTGACCGACCAAATCAACCCTGATTTGGTCCCAAAATGTCATTTTTGAAAGCTGAAGACGTCCCCTACAAATCGTCAGAAGGAATCTTCCTGAAAATATGCCATCTTGACCTCCAAAATACCCAAAAAGTCCATAAACATCAATCTGGGAAAGCTACGTGCTGGCCTTAATTTCATCACCACGGTCAAATGGCTTGGTAGAAAAATATGGAATTTTGATACAATCATCTTGAAAGACTCATGAACATCCTCCAATTGGAATCACTCTAAAATTTGTCTGTTTGATCATGTTTTGCTCCAAAGGATGTCGAATGTCCTACACTGAAAATATATAACAAAGTATCAAAATTCTTCCAAAATAACCAATAAATTATAACTAAGAATAGAGTAAAATATATAGTAAAATATCGACTCATCACATATCCAAGCAATTCCTCTACTTCAAACCTCTTAAACATGGCATATACTTCCTAAAAGGCTTTAGTCGCTTCCTTTTTAAGGTCGGCAACTGTCGCATTCAGGGGCAATACAAGAAGTTCCGGAGGCATGACAAAATCATCTTCGGATTCATCTGAAAGCTCCACATGACACCAGAGATGAATGACAAAGGAGCCTTCCTTTGCCATTTTATAAGGCCTATAGTCCTTTATGAATTGCTTGCAATCAAGAAGCTTAGTTGCAGTTTCAATAATTCGTTCCCCTTCATCGATTGAGGGGTATAGCTTAGCATGGTGTCTGGGTGGAGAATGGAATCATATAAAAATTTGAGGTCACAAAGGATTTTCTCTTCTGATGGAAAATTCAAATCCAACTCAGATCCATCAACATTTTGAACACTTGATGACTCGAGCCTGTTACCATAATTAATGTCAGGTCAGGACTCAACGGATGCATAAGTTGACAAAAGCAACTAAACCAAACAACGGCGGTCTCCTATTAGCTGTATTCTATGTCAACTGAAGTTGGACTGCATCAGGCCTTAACTACCATACCATTGGGTGCCAACTTCCCTCCCAGGTGTTTCAGGCAGTAATCAAGAAGCTCCAAAGAGGAATTCTTGTACAAATCACCCTGAGAGCTTGTTTTGACACCCAACTAAACCTACCAGCACCAAAT